TCCGCGGTACATGCAGGAGGTCCGGTTGACGCGGAGTTCCGTGCCCACCATCGATGGCTTCCAGTGCCCGACATGGGCACAGGACCCCGAGCAGAACTCGCTCTTCAAGGCCCTCCTCTTCACGCCTTGGGCGTGCGAGTGTCCCCTCTCTTGTGGCTGCGTTACTCAGTACAGCCATATGCTGAGGAACTGCGACTGCCCCGCCGTGCGCCCATACTCGTTCGAGCGGGCGTGGCGGCTTCGGTGCGCGGAGATCCACGTGTTGGCAGCGCGCGCAGACTCCAGGAGCCGCCTGGCCCGCAAGAGGCTCGTGCTCGCGGACACGACCCTCTTCTCCGAGCTGAAAGAGCCCCGGGCGAACCTCGAGGAGGGCGAGCTGGTGCTCCTCAGCCTAGCGCACTTCGCAAGGTCCCAGCTGGCGCGGCGCATGCCAGCGGAGGCGGCACGGCGCATCCTTGCCTTCAGTGACCACCATTGCCGGTGGCACGAGGAACAGTGCACCCTGGCGGAGTTCTGCGCGACCGTGGCGCGAGACGTGCTGGCGCACGTGGACCTCGCGGCGGAGGCGCGGGTTAAGCCTCGGCCAGCAACAACTGCACACCTCGAGGCGGATGAAGACTCCGCGAGCGATGCCGAAGGGGTCAAGGGGCGAGTCCCGCTGGAGCTCGTTGACGTGGGTGGAGGCGGCGGCAGCGACGTAGAGGAGGACGTGGAGGACGCCGAGATTACCGAGATCTCCCGGTTTCCGCTGCGGGACCACGTCAGAGCAACCGAGCTGGCCCTACAGCAAGACCAACTGCAGCGCTTGGACCAGAAGGGCCGCCTCAGCTACGCCGATAAGCAGTTGAAGAACCTCGACCGAGCGTACAGCGGCATGCTGCAGCCCAGCTTTGCACTGCCAGCCAGCAGCGGCGCGCGGGAACATCAGGGCACGCGGCTGGACGAGACCTTTTCTGACATGCTCGCCCTACAGCGGCAAAGCATTGCGCTCCAAAAGAAGCAAGCGAGCCCGGATGGAGAGATCTTGCCCGATGCTGCGGACGACTGGCTCCCCAGCGGTGCTCCTCAGCCTGCTGCCGAGGACGCCCAACCAGAACTCGTTCCGCAGCTCTTGGCCATGCAGGGCCCGGCGGCTGTTGCGTGGAAGCTCGTCACTGATGCCCACTGCACGGAGGAGCAGATTGACGCGGTGGCGTTGTTTGCGTTGTCTCTGCAGAAACGTTTTGACGGCAGACCAGACAAGACAACGCATCTCCTCCCCGTGGCGTCCGCGACAGGCAACCACAGAGCGATCTGGCTCGGTGGAGGCGGTGTCGGCAAGACGCGCACCCTCTCCAAAGTGGTGGAGCCGATGGCCATCACTTACTTCGGCGAGCAGGGGTACCTCGGCAAAGCGCAGTCCAACCACGCCGCACACAACCTCGGCCCGCGCGGCAGGACCATGCATTCCTCCAATGGCCTGCTCATGTCGGATTCCATGCAGACAGCCAGGCTGCGCCTGACCCCACAGACGCAGAAAAAGCTGGATCGCCTCACAGGCACACTCGGCGTCGACGTGATCGATGAGCTGGGTGCTGTGCCGGGGCCTTTGCTGCATGCAGATGCACTGCGCACGACCTACGGCAGGGCGTTGCGCTACAACCTGGACCCCACGAAGTACATGCGCCCGCAGGAGACGTGGGGACGCATGCCTGTGAAGATCTTGTGCGGAGACTTCTACCAGTTGCCGCCAGTCCCCGCCACCGCTTCCCTGCTGGCGCCTCACGCGGGCCAATCCTACGAACACCAACAGGGTAGGAAGTTGCTCGCCGACATCGAGTACGTCATCGATTTCGTGCAGATGCAGCGCTTTACAGACCCGTTGCAACTCGAGGTTCTCCACGCCATGAGAACTCCAGGCGGAAAAAAGATCTCTGACGAGAGCTGGCAGGCGATCGTCAAAACAGAGGTCGTTAGCTCTAGCGGTGCTGCTCAGCCTGCTGCCAGCAGCAGCCAAGCCGCTCAGCCACCTCAGTGGGGCCCTCGGTTGCGTGCAGCACGAGGCTGGTACGAGTCGGCCTATGAGTGGCGCATCGTCTCTTACGCCATGCATGCACAGGCCAAGCTTGATGCGCACGATGCTGGCCAGCTGCTCTTTTACGTCCCAGCAATCGACAGACCAGCTGCGCGCCTCGCGAAGCCTGATTACGACGAGATGCGCGCGGAGCCCAACATCGGCGCTACCGCAAAAATGCCGGGGCTGCTGCCGCTCTTCGTTGGCATGGAGGTCATCCTGACAGAATCCGTCTTGCCGCCGAAGTATGTCCGTGGCGCGCCAGGCAAAGTGGTAGGCATAGAGCTGCACGCTCTGGAGCCTCCGGTGGAGGGCCGCCCGTCCATTGTCTCGGACGGCGTGGTCGTACTCTACTACATGCCAAAGGCCGTCTATGTCAAGATCGATGACAGCGATGAACTTTTCTTGAAGGCCGCGCCGGTGACAGCTGGCAGTGCTTCTCAGCCTGCCGGCCCCGACCTGCGCGGAGTGCTCGCGATCACCCCGCAGGCGCGCCCCTGGAAGTTCAAAGCGAAGACAGGTGGCCCGGCCATCGCGGTGTCCAGGACGCAGTTGACCGTGCTGCCCAAAAAGCAGGGGACTCTGCATGGCGTCCAGGGCAAGACGACGGACCCAGGCTTCATCGTGCACTGGACGTTTCCGCCAGGACTCAAGAAGGAGTCCATTTGGCTTGCCTACTACGTCAGCCTGTCGCGCCCCAGAAGCTTCAACCAACTCTTGAGCCACGGCTTGCCTGACCGGAGCATCATCGAATCCGGCCCCCCGGAACAGATCGCCAAGGCCTTTGCCGAGCTCTTCACGGACAAGATTGCCGCGACGAAGATCGCTTGCGCGAAGGCCCGACAGCAACTGGGATGGCCTGCGCGAGCTTGAGGAGCCATGAGATGCAGGTTGCGTTGTGGCGGTGCTGTTCAGTCTGTCCGTCTGCATTCGCGTGGTGCTTCTCAGCCTGCATGCGCGTGGTGCTTCTCAGCCTGCGCTCGTGCGCAGCTGTGCGCGGTGAGCCTGCACGTGTCGCGGAATGCTTTTCAGCCTGCGCGTGTCTGCAATGCTTTTCAGCCTGCGCGCTTTGCACGGGAAAAAATCAAACTGCGAGTGTTACCGCTGCTGCATGCCTCCAGCTATGCTACTACATATCGCTGTTAGGTTGCTTTGCCGGGATAATTGTGGAGGAATGCGCAAGGATTCCCTTCATGGCGGAATGCAGAAGTACTCCTTTTGTGGAGGAATACAGAAGGATTCTTTTTGTGGAGAAATAGAACAAGATTCCTTTTGTGGCGAATTACAACAAGGATTCCTTTTGTGGCGGCCCCCCACCCCCCACATCCCAAGGACGACCCCCCACCCCACAACGAATGCAAAAAGCTCCGTTGTAGCCCACTCTGGGGAGTTAATCTCTTTCCCCGCCGTCTCTTGCCGCCGCTGTCGCCGACGCCGGACACCGCCGCTGATCATGGCATGTACCGCAGCAATCCATGGTTGCAATAAGGTGGAAAAGGGGCGCGCCTCCAGCCAGCCGGTTCCCCTAGCTACACATACCTGGTTGTGCGCCTTCGCTTGCCGGATTTATGTCGTAACCATGTCGAACTCAGTGGTCCAGCCCACTGAGGAGATTGACCCGTTGATGATAGTAGAACCAGATAGCAGACCTATCATACTGCCAGAAACTCTTAACCCTCTGGCAAATAACAGATGATGATGATGATGATGATGATGATGATGATGATGATGATGATGACGACGATGACGATGGCGATGACGATGACGGTGACGATGACGATGACGATGACGATGACGATGATGATGAGGCGGAGGAGGAGGAGGAGGAGAAGGAGGAGGAGACCGAGACGAATTGTCGGATCGGATCGGAAGGGTCCGCGAACAAAAATAATTCGGGAGCGGCTGCCACGGGCGGGCAGGAATGATATTATCTCGCATACCTAGGGAGATGGAGGAAGGCGAGAAGAGCGTCACATGTGACACGTTTCGTCTTCACTCCTCAAGGAACCCTCAGGGATCTGATTTGGGCAGTGCCGCGACTGTCCTAGGCTCCTGTTGGGCCGTCTGGGGTGTCCCTTGGGTTCTCTTGGGCCGTTCTGGGGCCCTCTTGGGCCGTCTTTGGGTTTTCTTCTGGCCTTCGTGTCCGTCTGGGCGGTCTCTCCGGGCCGTCTTTGGCCGCCCAGGGGTTCTGAGGTCGTCTTGGGTCCTTCCAGAGGCCCTTGTTTGGGGAAGCTTGAGGCCCTCTTGTGTCCGTCCTGGGTCCAGGGGCCCTCTTGGGCTGTCTTGGGGCCATCTTGGAGGCTGCCTGTGTTATTGTGAGGCCCCCTTGGGCTGTGATAGGGCAATCCTTGAGGCTTCTTGCGCCGCCTTGAGCCGACGGAAATTCGAAAGGCGAGAATGCGACAATGAATAAAAAACACATGGGTATCAATCAGTTTGACCTCTTCGGGCCTTGCTGGAGGTTCTCTTGAAGCCCTCCTGGCTGTCTTGGATGCGTCATAGGCCGTCTCGAGGCCATCTTGGGGCCATGTAAAGCAGTTTTGGAGGCAACTTGGGCCATCTTGGGGGCCGTTGTGGCTGGCTTGTGCCGTCTTGGAAGCCATGTCGGCATCCTGGACGCCCTGGAGAGCGCCAGGGTGGCGTCGGGCTGCCCAGAGAGCCTCTGGAGTGGCGCATGCATTTGGACGCGAGTAGAGGCTTGCAGAAACCCTGCGAGACAGCACTTGGCGTTCTACCACGCCTCGGCCGTACCAGGCGGCACGGCGGCGGCGTGGCGCGCGAGGGCCTCTCGGCCGGATCTGGGCGGGGAGCCTTCCTGGCGCTGCGGGACATCGCCAAGGGCGAGCTCCTGGCAGTCTCCTACGCGCCGGACGACCTCCTGGCGACCGAGCGGGCGCAGCGGCGCCACTACCTGCTCTGCCAGAAGGGGTTCCTGTGCCAGTGCTCCATGTGTTCCGGCCCGAGCGAGGAGCAGCGGGGAGCAGCGAGGAGCAGCGTCGTGCCCTTGTTCCCGGAAAGGGCGCCGGCCCAGGGTTCTCTTTCAGTTGGTAAACCCGTCCCCGGTGCCTCAACTGAGGTGGGCCGGCGGATTCTTTCCTTGATAAATATCGAGGTCGAGGTGGGCCGGCGGATTAAACTTTGAGGATGTCTCAGGCGAAACGCTTGTTTTTGAAATCCCGATCGATAAATCACAGGGTGCGGGCCATTCTTTCGTGTGTTGAGGATGTCTCGAGCGAAACGCTTGCTCCGCAGAGTTACCGAGGATGTCTCGAGCGAATCGCTTGTTTTGTAGAACTTGAGGGATCTGGGCGCCCCAGAGATTTGCCTTCTCCAGGTGCACGAACCGTGTGTTTTTACGTATGCGCCTGTAGATTTGCCCTCTCCAGGTGCACGAATCCCCCAGCACGACCACCCCCCAGCACGACCACCCCCCAGCACGACCACACCCCAGCACGACCACTCCCCAGCACGACCACACCGCCTTGGTTGAGTGGTTGCCTGTCGTCGTGGAATGTTTCGTGGGGTGTCTCGTGGACTGTTTCGCGGGGTGTCTCGTGGAATGTTTCCAGGAAAACGTTGAAAACGGTCGCCCGTGTCTCGTGCAATGTTTCGCGGGGTGTCTCGTGGAAGTGCCTGTCGCCCAATACGGTGTCGTGAAAACGTTTCCATGCATGCGGTTCTATAACCCTTTCCGGGTTCGTGGGTCCATCATGTTTTCTCAGAGCGGGGCCCACAGAAATCCCAGCCCTCTCCGCGAGGTCGGCTCTTGCTTCTCCGATGCGGGGATTTGTCCCGGAAAGGCGGGGGCTCAGGGTTTTCACCCCCGGAATCGATTTGAGACAGGCCGGCGAAATTATTCTGCCATAAGTTCTGCGAGTTGACGAGGTCGAGACGGGCAGCGAAGTAAAATTGAAGGATGTCCCGAGCGAAACGCTGACTTTTGAAATTTCGATTGATAAATCACGCGGTAAAGTAAGCATTTTCGTTTGTTGCGGATGTCTCGAGCGAAACGCCCGTTTTGCATGATTCGTTGAGGATGTCTCGAGCGAAACGCTTGTTTCGGAGGCTTCCAGGAGCCTGGGCGCCCAAGGATGCCCCAAGGGGCCCTGGGAGTGCGGACGCAGCGTAATTTACGAGGGATCGTGGCCCTGGGAGCATGGACGCAGCTTAGTTCACCAGGGATCGTGGCCCTGGGGGCGCGGGCGCAGCGTGATTTACGGCGGATCGTGGCCCTGGGAGCATGGACGCAGCGTAGTCTACCAGGGATCGTGGCCCCGGGGGCGCGGGCGCAGCGTAATTTGCGAGGGATCGTGGCCCAGGGAGAACGGGCGCAGCGTAATTTACGAGGGGTCGTGGCCCAGGGAGCGCGGACGCAGTGTCATTCACAATAGGCCGTGGCCCTGGGAGCGCGGACGCAGCATGACTTACTAGGGATCCTGGGCCTGGGGGGGGGGCGGACACGCTGTAGTTCAAGAGGGATCGTGGCCTTGGGAGCGCGCGCGCAGCCATACTTCACGAGGGAGCGCGGCCCGGGGAGCGCGGACGCAGTGCAGTTGACAAGGGATCCAGCCTGGGGAGAGCGGACGCAGCGTAATTCACAAGGGATCGTGGCCCTGGGAGTGCGGACGCAGCGTAATTTCTTATGAATCGTGGACTTGGGAGCGCGGACGCAGCGTACTTTACCAGGGATCGTGGCTTTTGGGCGGCTGACGCAACGTAGTTTACCAGGAAACGTGGCCCTGGGAGCGCGGACACAGCCATAATTTACGAGGGAGCGCGGTCCCGGGAGCGCAGACGCAGCGTCGTTTACAAGGGATCGCGGCCCATGGGAGAGCGGGCGCAGCGTCAATTTAACGAGGGATCGTGGCCAGGGGAGCGCGGACGCAGCGCTATCGCAGACGCATCAAAATTTACGAAGGATCGTGGCCCTGGGAGCGCGGACGCAGCGCAATCGCAGACGCGCCGTAATTTACGAAGGATCGTGGCCCTGGGTCAGGCACGTCCCATGGCACATTCCCTGACGCGTTCCCTGGCCGGCGCGTCGCCTGGCACGTTCCCTGGTACGCTCCGTGGCGCGTCCCGTGGCGAGTCCCCCTTGCACGTCGCGCGGCGCGTCCCTTGGCACGCCCCGTGCCACGTCCATTGGCACGCTCCGTAGCGCGTCCCTTTGGGACGTCCCGCGGTGCGTCCCCGTGGCACGTCCCCGTGGCACGTCCTTTGGCGCGTCACTTGGGACGTTCCGCGGCCCGTCCCCCTGGCGTGTCCCCCTGTCAATCAGCTCTGGGGCAGCTACTATGTGCTCAGGCAGCCCGAGCTTAAGGTCCAGATCAGTTCGGTCAGGACTCGGATGCAAAGGGGGACTCGATCCACAATGCTACAGAGCACGATCGCGGCATCGCACATCGCAATTTAGCACGGCGCAGCGCAGCACAGCCCTTGGTACGGCACGTCAAGATCGATACACTCAGCATTTCAGTTGCCCGTCGCCCAATCAGGTGTCTTGAAAATGTTGCCATACCTTACATTTCTATATTCCTTTCCGGGTGCGTGGGTCGTTCATGTTCCACAGTCATCGCTTCCACGAGCGGTGGATATCGATACATTCGGGCCCCAGGGGGCCAAGATATATCCGCATCCACCGCCCGCTGGGGAACCAGAACGTCGGTTCCCAGGCGGTGGATGTGGATAAATCCCCGCCTCGCATTTTCATCGCTTGCCGATTTTCCCTGCTTGGATGACCGCAAGGGTTGCTAAGGGGATTGGGGGGGGTACGTCTGGATGCTAATTTGTATCCGGCCTGACCTAGCTCGCGCGTGGGTTGCAAGTGCTCGAGGCGGCTAAGGGGGAGCAACGACTTGGACTAAGCGGGCGGAACCCACTTACCAACGTGACCTCACCCGTTGAGGCCACTCAGGGCCTTCGTAACCCACTTGGAAGCTGAGCTGGGCCGGATATGACCCACCTTCACGTCCATCTGCAACCCCCCGTCCCCCAAAAGGACCGCCAGGGTCATCCAGCGAGGGGAGGAGGGATGCGGGGGGGGGGAGGGGGAGGGGGAGGGGGAGGAGGAGGAGGAGGAGGAGGAGGAGGAGGAGGAGGAGGAGGAGGAGGAGGAGGAGGGGAGGAGGAAGAAGAGGAGGAGGAAGGGGAGGGGGAGGGGGAGGGGGAGGGGGAGGGGAGGGGGAGGAGGAGGAGGGAGGAGGAGGAGGAGGGAGGAGGAGGAAGAGGGAGGAGGATGAGGAGGAGGAAGAGGGAGGAGGAGGAGGAGGAGGAGGAAGAGGAGGAGGAGGGAGGAGGGAGGAGGAGGAGGGCTCCCACAGAGGCAGCATGGGCCCCGAAGAGAGTCCCACGGGGGGTGGGGGGCGGGGAGCCCTGCACCGCCCGGCCCGGCAGCCGCCGCGCCTGCTTCTCGGCACGAGCCGTCCCCTCGGCATCGCTCGGGCGTGTGCACTTTTCCTTCGGCGAGGACCATCGAGCCCAGACCCCCTCGAGTAACGAAAAAATCATGACGGGAGGTTTTTCCGGATTGTCGGCCTCCGGGGGCCCTCACCGGGCCTGGGAGCGTCAAATAACGACTCAGGATGCAAAGCCGGTCATGGGGAAAGGGTCGGGACCTCTGGGGGTCGACGTAATGAAAAAATCATGACGTCGGGGGCCGGCGACAATGTGAACGAAGTCGTGGCGCCAGGGGTCTGAGGACGGGACCCTTTGCCGGCGTGACCTTCCTGGTACGCGGCCTGGGAGGAGCATCCTGGATCCTTTGGCGAAAAAGCCACGCGCGAAACCGAAGAAAACACACGGGGAAGGGACGTCCGAGCGAGGGCCAGTCCTTCGACGGCCCGGGCCCCCGGACCTGGAGGCCGAAGGCCTGCCAACCTCACAGACCTCCCGTCGTGGTCGCTGTTCCAGGGCGCGAGCCCGTGCGCGGCCGGAGGCGCTGGGCGCCGCTGCCGGCACCCCCCGACCCGGTGCGCCGTGCTTTTCCCAGAAAGGGCGCAGGCCTGGGGTTTACCCCGGTTTCGAGGAGGAGGAGGAGGAGGAGGAGGAGGAGGAGGAGGAGGAGGAGGAGGAGGAGGAGGCGGGGTTTACGGGCGTGTTACCAGTTTGAAACATGTCCTTATCCCTGTGTTTGACATCACCTCACCTCGATGCCGATCTGAAGGGTTCCCTCAGCTTCTGAGGGCCTATCCCTAAGATTGTCCTCGCTTTTTGCTCGCCCATCTTAGGGATAGGGATAAGTTCGAGGCTGGTTAGCGTAGGCCCGGGGTTCTCTTTGAGAGGTTTACCCCGGGTTTCGACTTGAAGGAGGCCGGCGGAATTATTGCGAAGGCCTTACGGCCGATGCCGCCGACCCTGGAGACAGCGTTCTGTCACTGGGGAGAAATAACAACGCAACAGGAAGAGTGCTCAGTGTGGGAGAAGCGCAGTGCCGACGAGGGGCCTCTGTGGGAGCTTCCTGGGGCCTCTTGGGAGCCTCTTGGGGCCTCTGTGGGCTTCCTGGAGGGCCTCTTGGGAGCTTCTCGGGGCTGAGGGCTCGAAATGTCCGTTCGGGTCCCCCGTCTGGGCGCTCTCTTGGAACCGTTTTGGGGGCCTTTTGTGAATCTGGGAGGCGTCTTGGTCCGTCTTGGGGCACTTTTGGCCGTTTGGGGACCCTCTTGGAGGCCTCTTGGGCCATGTCGGGGCGATCTTGGGAGCCTCTTGGGCCGTCTTGGCGCGTGGGGAAGCGGAAGAGGCGAGAACGCCAAAATCCTTGAAAAACGCATGGGAAATCCATGATTTGTGCCTCTGGGGGCTCTCGTGGGAAGGGTCCTGGAGGCCTTTTGGGGCGTCTCGCAGGCCTTTTGGGCCGTCTGGAGGCCATCAAGGCGTCTTGGACAGATCATTCGGCGATTCGGCGCCCTCTTGGATCATCTTGGGGGCCTCTTGGAGCACTCTTGGCCGGTCTTGGGGCCTTTTTGGGCTTGGGGATTCCCCGGGAGGGCGGCGTATAAACCCAGGACCCCCCCCCGGGAGCTACCCCGGGACCACCCCCCCCTTCCTTCCCCGGGAAGGGATCAAAGGGAAGGGGCTTCCCTTCGACTCAAGTACGACGCTCTTCAATCTCGCCTTGGACTGGCGCGCCTCACAACGAGGCCTTGGGAGAGGGATAGAAGCAACGACGCTGTGGGGAAAGAAGAAGGAACATCGACGACGACGAAGAGGGAGCAGACGGAGAAGCCTCTTCCACACGCCGACAGGGTCGGCGGATTTTGCGATGGATGACGAGTTTGAAGCAGGCGGTCCGCCGTGTTTTTCCCGGGAAGGGCGTAGGCCCGCGGTTCTCTTTTAGAGGTTTACCCCCGGTTTCGACTTGAAGGAGGCTGGCGGCATTATTGTGCGATCAATGACGAGTTTGAAGCAGGCGATGCGCCGTGTTTTTCCCGGAAAGGGCGTAGGCCCGGGGTTCTTTTTTAGAGGTTCACCCCCAATTTCGACTTGAAGGAGGCCGGCGGCATTATTGTGCGATAAATGACGAGTTTGAAGCAGGCGATCCGCGCGGCGTGTTTTTCCCGGAAAGGGCGTAGGCCCAGGGATCTCTTTTAGAGGTTTACCCCAATTTCGACTTGAAGGAGGCCGGCGGCATTATTGTGCGATAAATGACCGAGTTTGAAGGAGGCGGGCGGAATTGGTTATGAGGATGTCTCGAACGAAACGCTTGTTTTTCAGAATTGGTTGAGGATGTATCGAGCGAAACGCTTGTTTTGTGTTATAGATTGTCCTCTCCTAGGGGCCAGAATTCAGAGTATCTCTGAGGTGAAATGCTTGTTTTCACGTGCCCAGGTCTTGAGGATGTCTCGAGAGAGAGACGCTTGGTTTCACGCCTCCATGTTGCCCTGGCAGAGGTCTAGCATGAGGATTTGGTGAGGATGTCTCGAGCCAGAGGCCTGGTTTCACGCGTCCTGGTCGCCCAGGCGGATGTCTAGCATGAGGATGTGTCGAGGAAGTCTCGATCGAGACGCTTGTTTGCACGTGTCCAGGTTGCCCAGGTGGATGTCTAGCATGAGGATGTGTTGAGAACGTCTTGAGCGAAACGCGTGTTTTCTCGTGTCCAGGTCGCCCAGGCGGATGTCTAACATGAAGATGTGTTGAGGATGTCTCGAGCGAGACGTTTGCTTTCACGTGTACAGGTCGCCCAGGCAGATGTCTAGAATGAGCAGATGTTGTAATCGTCTCGAGCGAAACGCTTGTTTTCACGTGCCCAGGTCACCCAGGCGGACGTCTCACATGAAGATATGTTGAGGATGTCTCGAGCGAACCACTTGTTTTCACGTGTCCAGTTCGCCCAGGCGGATGTCTAGCATGAGAATGTGTTGAGGATGTGTTGAGCGAAACGCTTGTTTTCACGTGTCCAGGTCGCTCAGGCGGATGTCTAGCATGAGGATTTTGACAGGATGTCTCGAGCGAAACGCTTGTCCCCAGCACGTTCCGTAGCGCGTCCCCTTGGCACGTCCCGCGGTGCGTCCCCATGGCACGTCCCCTGGCACGTCGCTTGGCGCGTCCTTTGGGACGTTCCGCGGCGCGTCCTCCTGGCATGTCCCCCTCTCAATTAGCTCTGGAGCAGCTACTATGTGTTCAGGCAGCTCGAGCTTCAGATCAAGATCAGCTCGGTCAGGACTCGGACGCAAAGGAGGACTCGATCCACGACGCTATAGAGCACAATCGCGGCATGGCACATCGCAATTCAGCACGGTGCAGCACAGCACAGCTCTCGGCAGGATACGTCAAGATCGATACACTCAGCATTGCATTTGCCCGTCACCCAATCAGGTGTCTTTGAAACCGTTGCCATGCGTTACACTTCTATATTCTTTTCTGGGTTCGTGGGTCGATCATGTTTGGTTCTCCAATGTTCGGGAGGGGGAAAAATAAACACACTGACAAAATTCATCGTCGATTCCCCAGAAAATATGGAAGGCATGGGAAGTGGGGGGAGGACGAACACCCAGAACATATGGGGAAGTATGGGGGAATCCTGTTATCTGTGTCAATTTATTTGTGTGTCCCAGGGCCCCTTCGAATGTAGAGTTGTGCAGGAAATGCACCCCGAACGATCGGCAAATAGGTAGGGCGGACATCGACATCAGTGGAGCTCGAAAAGTGGGGCGGATGTGCGCGGACGCTCGAAGGTCTGGACAACTTTCTTGGGCTCGGTTTTTCATCCTGAGCCGTTTTTTGCTGTCCGCGGGCCTCGCGGGGCTCCCGCAGGCGGAAACTTGCAACAAAAACGGCCGCTGCCACGTCTCGGAGCCTCGGATCTCTGGGATCTCTTGGAGCCGCATCCCCCTCCTCACCCTCTTTCCTCCTGGCAGGTTTCGGGTGATAACTCAGGCCTCCGGCGGCCGTTCGGGACGATCCGTACACCTCCGGGACGCTCTCGACCAGGCGCAGTTGCTGGGGAGCATCCCGAGGCGAGACAGCCTCCAAGAACGCCCGAAAACTTTCGGACACAGACCACCACGAAACCGCCCAAAGCACGGGTCAGGGGACGCGGAAAGAGGATTTCAGGAGGCGGACGGACAGGGAGAGGGAGGGGGAAGAGCACAAGAAGGACGGGGAGGAGTGGGAGAACCACGACGACGACGACGACGACGACGACGACGACGACGACGACGACGACGACGACGACGACGACGACGACGACGACGACGACGACGACGGCGGCGGCGGCGGCGGCGGCGGCGGCGGCGGCGGCGGCGGCGGCGGCGACTTCGATCTCGATTTCGGCGGCGACGGCGGGGAGGACTTCTTCGGGCGCTGGCCCTGCCCGGGCTGCCGGCCGCGGGGGCCCGGCGGGCTCGCGGAGGCGCAGCTCGCGGGCTGCTGCGCCCTGCGCGCCTGCGGGCGGCAGCCGCCGTGGCGCGCCGAGTGCGGGCGGGCGTGCACGGACGAGGAGGTCCTCGCAGGGAGGAGGAGGGAGGAGGGCGGCGGCGGCGGAGCTCTGCAGGTGCACGAGTCTGGCTGCTCAAACGCGGGGCATTCGCAGGACAGCTCAAGCGCCTAGAGTGCGCTAACGAATAGCGGTGCATTCGCACGGAGGGGGGGGGCCCGCGTGCCACGGCTAACCCAGCTCGGAGATATCCCTGGGGCCAGGCCACGTGTAGGCCTTGACAAAACTACAAAACTACCAACACACTGGAGAGGCCCCAGGATCACCCAGGGAGGAACAAAGGCACGGGAACGCAGTACCGAAACTCAAAAGGCAAAAAGTTGGGCCCAGGAGAGGGGGGGACCGTAAAATCGGGGCTGAGGCTACCCCAACAGCTTTGTCACCGTCGGGCTCCTCCTTCCCCCCTCTTGACGGGGCCATTAATGAGACGGAAGATCGCATCATCGAGGGAGGTGGAGGAGGTGAGGCGAGGACGAGAGGAGGAGGAGGTCCCGCCTCGTGCGGGAACATCTGCTGGTGGCTGGCTGACTCGTGCAGCTGGACGTGGTGGCGCCGCTCTGATAGCGGCGCCTCGAACTGGAAGCCTCTCAGAACGCCTCTGGTCACTCACTAGCCGAGATGCTCCATTCCGTCCAGGGCCAACTGCATCAGCCTCTCTTGGTGGGACCTCGGAGGCGTCCCTCTCTTGATGCTCGCCCCGATCTGGACGAGGCCTGCGAGTACTTCTGCTTGGATCCCTGACCCGCTGGCCTCCAGGAAGATCTTCATCGTCGCCCGATCGTGCGTGAAGCCTATCTTGCAGTACCTGCAGTGAGAGTCCAGCGTCTCGTTGGTCATGGACGGGTCGGCCTTCACTGTGTCCAGGTACGTCTTGATCCTCGCTGCCGTCTGTGCACCCACTCGATCTCCTTGCTGCTGCAATGCCCCGACTAATGTGAGCCATAAGTGAGGATGTGGTACACCGAGCTTGTCGAGCTCCACGACCCTCACTCCATTCTGAATCTCTTGGCGATGCTGCAGTCGGAGGCGCTGCGCCTCCTGCACAAAGTACCTGCCCGTCAGCCGCATCGCCTGGCACACTTCGTGGTCCGCCTGCAGGTGCGCGATGTTGAAGACTACCGACTCCAGCGCCGCCAGCCCTTGTCGCGTGTGCAGCATCGACCTGACCAGTACTGGCATGATCGCCTGCACCAGCTCGATCGGCATGGGCTCGTCCCCGAGGCGGAGGACGTCTCCGCGGTTGAGGCCGTAGCTGTTGTCGACCGCGTCGAAGAGCTGCGCCAGCATCTGGTTCATGGTGCTGCCCTGGCGCTGGTGCTGCGGGGGCGGCTGCTGCTGGCGCTGGTGCTGCTGCTGCTGCGGAGGTGGCGGCAGCGCGCCTCCCGCCGCCGCGTGCGCCACCGCGGCTGGGGCAGGCAGGCCGGCCCCCACCGTCAGCCCCGCGCTCGCGGCCGCGGGCGGGGGCGCCGCTGCGGGCCCGCGCCTCGGTTGGCCCCCTGCGGAGGCGGGCTCCCTGCTGGGCCTCGGGCCACCTCTCCGTGCAGCGCCCGCTCCTCGCTCCCCGCTGCGAGAGCGCAAGGCGGCGGCCCTGTCGGCCCCTCCGACGCTGAGGGCGCGAGAAGCCAGATCCATCAGGCGGTGTCTCGTAGTAAATTAAATCAGGTGCTGGTGGTGCATGTACTTCCCGAATATGTATCTGTAACTCTGCAAGGCTATCAAAGGTCCCTGTCTTTCTTGTGCCAGGCGGCATGTTACAGACGAAGCATTCTGGGGTCGTATCGATATCCAGGCAGAAGGGGCAGTGGAGATCCGACGGGACGATGGGCTCTGGTGCATATGGGCTCCAATCCGTGATGCATCGGCGTTTTCTTAGAGACATGGCAACATGACGTTTGGCCGTGACCTCGCTCTTGAACGTGGACATGCAATAGGGGCACTGGTTGGTGACAACTAGCAGATGTGCAGGGACTCGCAATTTATGTGAGGGATGATGCACTTGATGCGCCCGCAGAGCCCCCTTGCTGTAGAACACCTGCCCACAGACCACCTCTGGATCTTCCCCTGGGAGTTCACAAACGTGCACCTCTGGAGGGCCTTGCTCGGGGTCTTCTGTGTGATTGTTACCTCGGGGGCCTCGAACCTCTGGAACTTTTCTGAGCTTCTCTGGATTGAACCTGCAGAAGAGCCTACCCGCGACGTCCCTCGTGAAGATGTCCCGAACCGTGTACTCAGCCAGGAACTCTGGGCCCCCCTCGAGGTACTGCAAGGCCTGAAGGTCCTTCTGAAGCAACTGGGCCCACGGGTTCGCGGACGGGCTCACCGTCCCGTCCTCCAGGAAGGTGTCCACCTCCTCCAAGCCTTCCAGGGTCCCGAAGAGCGCTACCAAGGGCTTTCTGCTGTCCTGTGGAAACTCGACGAACCGTTGCCACTGGCGAAGCCTTCGGACTAGCAGTTCAGCTCGGGTGTTGGTGATGCGCATTTTTGTCAGCAGCGTGCTCTCTGACAGGGAGCGGTACTTCAGTCGAGCCCCGTCTGGCGTGCCTTCTATAATCTCGGGCTTGCGATCGCGCAATACTGCTCTCGCGAGGCCCAGGACGACGGCATCCAGTCGGCGGCAGTCCTGCTTGCTGAGAAGGTAGGTCTCCAACCCTGAGTATGCAGCCGACAGGATGATGCCTTTAAACGCCATCCTCTTCAATCGAATAGAGTGCGTCACCTCCCAGAACCTGCCCATCCTCCTCCATGCTGACCTCGTCGCCTCCACCCTCCGCCTGACTTCTGCTGCACTCCCGCCCGTAAGCTGTTCCATCCCTCCCAGATATAGGCTCTCTGCGGCCACCACCCCTGGCACTGCAATACTTTTTGCAAGTAATACTCGGGTAGCCGTGTATGCCCCAGGGCCCGTCATAACTGGCATGCACACCTCTTTGTCGGGGTTCTGTGAGAATCCCCCTCCCTGCTCTAGCTTTCTGTCCAGGATCAGGTTAGACGCCAGGAGTTTTTGCCTTGCTTCAACAGGGTTTGGGGCACACAAGGGCACTGTCTGATGTATGTCATCTGCGTAGTCTCTGACTGAGACGTCGTGCATCACATTTGTCAGCGCGCACGTCATGATGTTGGCGGCCCTGCAGAGAGGCACAGGTTGGGACCGACGCGTCGCTTGGAACAAATCTGGCTGCTCAAGTAGCTCGTCCCTCCAGGCCTCCACAGGGCGAAGAAAGCTGCGCACGAAAAGCTCGCAAGCGTTCCCGTCCCCCATCCCAGATCCATGCGTCGGTTGATAGTACCCCACTTCCCCCCCCGCCCTGATCTCCATCACCGCCTCCTCATGCCGTTGATGAAAAAAGGCACGATCTTGCGGGTGCGGGATGACCTCTAAGACCGTGCGGGCCAGCTCCTCGTGCGAGGTCGAGGGGAACGCATTCGACATATCCTTTTTGACGAGTATGTGTGATATTCCCAGTTTCTTAAGCCTCCAGCTGTGTATTTGTGCAACCAACTGTGCGTTTTGTCGTGCTCGATGTGGTGCATATCCATGTGCGTGCGGGGGCAGGGGAGGATGATCACTGCGAAGGTAGAGGCCCCGATACCAAGCTTTCCCCATTGGACAATAACAATGAATAAGACGCATGGCCTTCGTGCCCCGCTTGAGGTTCCCCTTGGAGAGCTGAAAGGTCCTACTCCAGTGCCAGCACGACGGTGTCCTAGACTTCGCCCTAAATTGTCCGAATAGCCTCCGAAGTCGCTCCGCGAAATTCGGGCAGTGTACGTGCATGCGAGACTCCACCTTTCCCAATTGTGCCTCCGTCATGTGCTGTGTGAAGGGCCACTCTCCCGTGATCTGCTTCGTGACATGCTGTGCAAGCCAGTGCCACAGTTCAGCTGGCAACGAATGTCTCGGAGCATATCGCCGCCTCGCTGCACGGCGTAGCTGCCCTAGCGTGCGAAACCAGTCGTCCCAGGCGAGCGAGGCTGCGGCTCCGCCTAGGTCATCAGGGCCATCCTCCTGCAGGCGCTGGAGTTCGGGCCTGGCTGGGTCCGACGGCGACTGCAGCACCTTGGCCGAGAAGCCCCCGTCCTTGGCAGAGGCCTTCATTGTCTCCTCCCACTCCTGCAAGCTCGGACGGTACGAGTCTGGAACATTGCACGCCCGCTGTCGTGGTCCCCTGCATCTCGCTCCAATCTGATAGACCACCTTCCACAGGTTGCTGGTGTCATTCGAGCGTCGATGTAATTCTGCTTCTTCCAGTAATCTGTCCACATGCAGCGTGTCCAGGCGTCGTCGCTCCCGCTTGATAATTCGATCCAACGCCCGAAGTCCCACACGAACTTCCTCTGCGACACGTGTGGCGCTTGCCATAGGAGTCTCCAGCAAAACGGGCTGGCCGCCGCCTCCACGCGGTGTCCCTCGGAGTGCGAGGGTCACTAACGGCGCGCCGCCGGGCAGTCCCCACTCGCACCCCGAGGGCCTCTGGGAGGGGGACAGCTGCCCTGCGACGAGAGAACCTGGCGCGCCAGGCGCGTCAGTATGATCTCCAGCAGGATGTCCAGGGTGTGGGTCATCAGGTCGGTCATGTCGTCCTCCACCAGTATTACTTGCCATGGGAGCATCCGGCAAAGCGGGCTGGCCGCCGCCTCCACTCGGTGTTCCTCGGAGCGAATCCTCCAACCCCGAGGGCCTCTGGGAGGGGGTCGGCTGCCCTGCGACGACAATACCTGGCGCGCCAGGCGCGCCAGGATTTTCCCCAGCAGGTAGCCCATGTTGAGGAAAGTCAGGTAGATCGTGTCGACCTCCAGCGGCCTCCTCTGGATCTGTTGGCCCCTCAGCGTTTCCCCGAACTCGAGTAAAACGTCTTCCAATCAGGGATGGCTCTGGTAACTGTCCGAGAGCGGGAACACCAAATCCCAGTTGAGAGGACTGCCACTCCAGATCCTCGGAGTTGTTCTTCCAGAATGCGTCTGCAGGTCGCAGTGGGTCCAGAACAGCAGCAGCAGGTCTTGCGTCTCCCTGAGGGGCGAGTGACCCGAGAAATTGAACTGGTAGCCTCGAAGTATCAGAGACCGATCTGGGCGGGCCCCTCCGTCGCATGTCTGCCAATAGTGTCCCAAGCTGTCCTAGAAGTTGTTGGTCTTGGGGGTTCAGCCTCAACTGCCGTCGGAGTTCCAGGAGTTCGCGTCGGCGTTCACGGTATTCTCTGGAGGGGCACCCTCGCTGGTTCGTCTGCTGTAGCTCTGGTAAGGCTGCAGCGCGTAAATCCGCCACGAGTGCGTCCCAGGCCAGGCTGGGGTCCACCTTGTCGGTATCTCTTTGCCACTCCTGCTGCTTGGACGCGGAAAGTCTCTCAACCTCCATAAGTATCTCAGCTCCACTGCCATCGTGCTGTAGCATCTTCCATATCTGGTCACGATCCCATCTGGGCTCCCTCTGAGTAGGCGTCGGCGCCGTAAGAGTATACTGAGCTGCCCAGAGGAGTGGCGCATGATCCCGTGGCTTGACATCTGGTATTATTTGCAGCTCTCTCTGGGCCCGCCTGAGTATCTTGCACTTCTGTGTGAGCTGGATGGCATCAACTGGCACCAACAGGTGGTCGGGGTTGCTGGTCGAATCCACTCCGTAATATGTCGGACCCGTCGGGAAGAACGAATCCGCGACTGCCATCCTCTCCATGCGCAGGATGCGCCAAATGCTCTCTGAAACTTCACTCTCAAGGCCAGTGGCGAAGCGGCCTACGTGGCAATCATCATGGGTCGGGGTCGGCAATCCTTGTCCAACCTTCCGAGTCCCAAATTGACAATTAGAATCCAAACCAACCACCACAAGAGACCTTTGCTTACTCTCCTGAATCATCTTGTGCACCCAATCCGTAACTCTCTTGCATGTGGATCTCCATGCTTCAACTGGCATATTGCTGGGCGGTGGGTAATACGCCGTGATCAAAGTCAGATCGAACCGTCCACTCTTGATACGCAGCAGGCCTCCTCTTCCCGCGAGGTCCGTAGGGGCAGCCCTCACCTCGTGGATATGCGAGTCCCTGATGCTCCTCCTTCTTACAAAGATCGCACACCCTGCACTTTTGTTGGTGTGTCTTCCCTTCTCCCATCCGTACGAGAACATCTTATGATGCGACAACTTCATCGTGCTGACTGGTGCTTTCAATCTCTGTCTGCACGTCGTCGCTGGACAAAGTATCACATCTGCAAACTTCAACGAGCAACTGATCTCTTCCGCTCTCCAGGCCTCCGCGATATGCAGAGGATTGTACACCACCAGATTCAACAGATTGTTCCACATCCGAGACAAGAGAGAGTATGGAAAACGTGTGTTAGTAGAACGTAGAAGTGTGATTGGAAGAATGGAAAGAGCCCCCCCCCAGGCTCGTGTAGCGGCAGGGAGGAAAAGTCCAGGTACCGTACGGAGCCCGTGGTGTCTCTGGCCTTGGGCGCAGGGGCTAGGGAGGAGGGAGGAGGGAGGATTAGAGCGAGGAGGAGGAGGAGGAGGAGGAGGAGGAGGAGGAGGAGGAGGAGGAGGAGGAGGAGGAGGGAGGAGGAGGAGGAGGAGGGGGAGGGGGGAGGAGGAGGAGGAGGGAGGGAGGAGGAGAGGAGGGAGGGAGCGATGAGGGGAGGAGGAGGAGGAGGAGGAGGGAGGAGGAGGAGGAGGAGGAGGAGGAGGAGGAGGAGGAGGAGGGAGGAGGGAGGGAGGAGGAGGAGGGAGGAGGCGAGGAGGAGGAGGGGGAGGGGGATTGGAGAGGAGGAGGAGGAGGAGGGGGAGGAGGAGGAGGAGGAGGAGGAGGAGGAGGAGGAGGAGGAGGAGGAGGTCCTCGCAGGAGGACAAACCTCGGCCACGCGCAGAGGGGGGTAGGGGAAGGAAAAGGAGCTTCTTAGAAGCACCCCCGCTTCTTAGAAGCCGCGGGCCTTGTCTGTAGATGTAGGGTCGGCACCTTCTAAGAAGCAGCCTCCTTCTGAGAAGCCTTCTCCCCTTCCCCATACCCCATTGTGCGCGCCGCCCAAACCTTGAGATTCAGGCATTGCAGGTTCTCGCGGAAAGGGCGCGGGCCCAGGGTTCTCTTCTAATGGTTTACCCCCGGACTCGACGGGCGTAGGGCCAGCGGAGTTATTCTGCGATGAATCACGAGGTCGCGTAGGGCCGGCGGGATTGAATTTCGAGGATGTCATTAGCGAAACGCTTGTTTTGCATAACATGTCGAGGATGTCTCGAGCGAAAAGTTTGTGTTGTGCTGTAGATCGCTCCTCTCCTGGGGGCCAGACTTCACAGGATGTCTCAGGTGAAATGCTTGTTTTTCCGTGCCCAGGTCTCGAGGATGTCTCGAGCGAGACGCTTCGAGGATGTCTCGAGCGAAACGCTTAGTTCGCTGAATTCGATGCCCAGGTGGCTCTGGGAGCCCGAACACAGTGCAATGTACTAAGGAACGTGGCCCTGGGAGCGCCGCAGCATAATTTACGTTGGATCGTGGCCCTGGGAGCGCGGACGCAGCGTAATGTACAACAGATCGTGGCCCTGGCAGCGAGGACGCAGCGTAATTTACGAGGGATCGTGGCCCTGGGGGGGCGGACACCGAGTAATTTCTTAGGGAACGTCGCCCCGCGAGCGCGGACACAGCATGATTCACAAGGGGGCGCGGCCCTGAGAGCGCGGACGTAGCGCAGTTTACATGGGATCGTGGCCCAGGGAGAGCGGACGCAGCGTCATTTACGAGGGATCCTGGCCCTGGGAGCGCGGACGCAGCGTAATTTAGCGTCCCCATGGCACGTCCCCTGGCACGTCGCCTGCCGCGTCCCTTGGGACGTTCCGCGGCGCGGCCTCCTGGCATGTCCCCCTGTCAATTAGCTCTGGGGCAGCTACTATGTGCTCAGGCAGCTCGAGCTTCAGATCAATATCAGTTCGGTCAGGATGCAAAGGAGGACTCGATCTACAACGCTATAGAGCACAATCGCGGCATGGCACATCGCAATGCAGCAGGGGGACCCCAAGTCGTCTGGGGAGAGGACGTCGCGGGAGGGAACCCTCGCCCTCCACCTTCCGCACCTTCCGCGCGGCAGGTGCCGCGCCGCGGCGGACGCCGCCGCCGCCGAAACCGCTGCTGCGGCCTCGGCGGAAGCCGCAATGGCGGCCGCGGCGGCGGCCGCCGCGGCGTGGAACCTGCCGCGCGGAAGGTGCGGAAGGTGGAGGGCGAGGGAAGGGACGTCGCGCGTCTGGGGACGCGGCTGCCGTCGCCTCGTTCTTCGCACGGCCGGGCCTCCCGGGCGGCCCTCGTCGCCGCCGCCGGACTCACCCCGAAAGTCTGGCCAGCGCGCACCCCCTGGGAGACTACGGCCAACCCGCATAGCAAGGATGGGCAGCCTTCCCATTGGCATCCTCGCGTCCTTGCCTCCTCGGTCCATGCCTGGCCGCTTTCGCTGGCCGCGCCCCGCCCGCAGAGTGCCGACGTGGCATTCCAAGGCCCTTGCATCCTTACCACACATCCTTCTCTTGGCATCGCTCGGACGTGTGCATTTCTCCTTCGGAGAGGGCCATCGAGGAGCATCCTTGATCAGTTGGCGAAAAACCCACGCACGAAACCCAAAAAGAACACAGGGAATGGACGTCCGAGCGATGCCCAGACACGTCCTTCTGCTGCGGGTCGACGGCGCCAGGGGCAGCGGCAGCACAGGTCGGTGCCCCCCCCGGCCTCGCCAGGTCCGGGGCGCCGGCGGCGGCGAGGCCCTGGCCCGGGAGGCGCTGCGCCGCTTCGTGGGCGTCTCGGGGGCCGGGGCCGCCGGGGGGGCCGCCGCCCGCAACGCCTTCCTGGCGGAGGTGCTCCGCGCCCTGGGGGAGGAGCGCCCGAGCTGGGCCTGAACGGCGTGTTTCGTCCCTCGCCCTCCACCTTCCGCACCTTCCGCGCGGCAGGTTCCACGCCGCGGCGGCCGCCGCCGCCGCCGAAACCGCTGCTGCGGCCTCGGCGGAAGCCGCAGTGGCGGCCGCGGCGGCGGCCGCCGCGGCGTGGAACCTGCCGCGCGGAAGGTGCGGAAGGTGGAGGGCAAGGGGTGTTCGTTTGGTTTCCAGTTGCCGTCGTTCTGGCTTCGCTCCGTCCGTCGCCGTTTTCGTCCCCGGCGGAGGTGCCCCGCACCCTGGGGGAGGACTGCCGGAGTGGGACCCGAACGGTGTTGCCTGGCGGTTTCGTAGGCCGTGTCCGTTTCGATTCCGCGTGGCAGCCGAGGGGGAACGAAGACGAAGCGAGGGACAACGGAAACACAACGAAACGAAAAGCGCCGTTGCGGTCGAGCCCTGAGGACCATTCGGCGTCGCAGCTACTGCTGCGAGGCGTGGCCCTGCGCGCCGTGCGGGCCGCGCAGCCGCTGGAGAGGACGGCGGAGGCGGTCTGCCCCAGCGATGCGACCTGTGCGGGTCCTGAGGATCTGCACCACCACCACCGCCTCCATCCCCCGTCGCCCCTCCACTTCTCAGGCGATCGCAAACATGGATCAGGTCCCGTTTCCATAGGAAATCGTGGAATCCGCCGACGAGCGAGGCGGCTCGGGCCGCAAATCCATGGATCGCTAATCCATGTTTGCGCGCCCCCGATCTTCCCCTCCTCCGCGTCCCCTCCTCTCCCCTGGGAGAGGGATGGGGTTGGGGGAGGTGGTGGTTGTGGTGCGTTTCGATTATCCATGCCTCGCGTATGCCCGCCAGCCCGTTCAGAAGCGATGCCCGTGAGAGCTGACGGGAGATGGGATGAAGAGACACATATACAGTGAATCAAAATGGGCAACTCTGGTTAACTGAGGATGCAGAGGAGGGGGGAGAGGAGGCGGATATGAACGACGATGAGAGGAGGAGGAGGAGGAGGAGGGAGGAGGAGGAGGAGGAGGAGGAGGAGGAAGAGGAGGACGAGGACGAGGACGAGGACGAGGAGGACGAGGACGAGAAGTCTGGCAGCCATCTGGGGGTCTTCTTGTGGCCCTCTCGGGGCCCTCTTGGGGCTCTCTCGGTTGGGGCTCTCTTTTGGGTTCTTTTGGGGTGCCTCGGAGTCCTCTCGGGGCTGGGAGGGTCTTGAGGCCATCTTGGGGCCCTCATGGGTGCCCTGGAGGGCCTCCTCGGCCGTCTCAGGGCGTCTTGGGGCCGTCTTGGGCGCCTCTTGGGGGCCTGTTGGGGCCCCTGCGGACGCGAGGAGGGCGAGAGGGCCCCAGATCGCCGTTTTCCCATACGTTTTCGAATGTTTTTTTCTCTTTTTCGGGGGGCTCCGGGCACGTGAAGCCGTCTTGCGGTCCCCTTGGGCCCTCCTGGGGCTATCGTGAGCCACCTTTCGGCTGTCTTGAGCCATCTTGGGGGCCATTCTGGAGCATCGGAAGCCCTCTTGGAGCCATCTTGGCCGAACAGGGACCCCCTGACACCTCGCGGCCTCCCCTGTCAAGAGCCAGGGGGAGGGGTTAGGCTAGGTGGAGGGCTAAACCCTTCCCCCAAAGAGGAAGAAGGGGAGTTGAAGAGGAAACGCTCCCGACCACCTCCGCTCAGAGGGCTGGTGCGATTCGGACCCTGTGTGACTCTGGATCTGCCGTACTTTGGATGGCCTTCCGATCTGTAATTGTCGCCTCTTCCCAGTCATATGTTCGCGTGGTGAAGCAGGTCACGACTCAGGATGAAGCCGGTCCCCGCCGACTGGTCACGCCCCTGGCCCCGGATCTATCATATTTTAGTGGATTCTCCGATTTAGAACTGTCGCGGACAGGCACTCCGCGCGGTGCGAAACGGTATTGCGGAGATGTCCGCCTCGGAACTGTGGGGTGGGCATGTCCGCAAAAGGCGCGGCGGAAGCAGCGACGGCAGATCGGGGCGGACACGGCCTGGGCAAAGCAGGGCAGAAGTCCCCAGAGACCCTGCGCCCGAAGCCGCCCAGAGCACGGCGGATGCGAAGCCGGGGAAGGCGGTCTGGCGGTGCCACGGCTTCCTCGTCCGCGCCGGGTGGCCGCTGGGCATGATGCCGCTGCACGGCCTCTACGGGGCGCTCATCGAGCGGGCGCAGGCGGAGCTCGCGGCGCACGCGGCGGGGGCGCCCTGGCCGGCCTCTTGGCCCTCCGTGGTCGCGGCCGCGGCCCACTGCGCGGCCGTGCTGGAGGGCCCCGACAGCGCCAGGGCGAGGCGGGGCGCTCTCTGCAGCCTCCTCTGCGCGAGGGAGGGGGCTCCGCCGTGCGTCGCGTAGGCGCGTGCGTCGCGCAGGCGCGCGCGTGCGGTCGGGGACACTCCGGCGAGGCGTGCGGCGCCGCCGGGGTTCCGGCCCACCTGCGCCGCGGCGCGCCGATATCGGAGCCCCACGCCCCGGGGAGCGGAGCGACGCGCTGTCCGCCTGAGAGGGGCAGCGTGGCGCCTGGCCGCCGCAGCGACAAGCTGAGCCCAAGCGGCCGACCGTAGGATCGACATTTTCGCGGCCGCCGGCATCGTCTTGAAGTTGCTCCCGGAAGGGGCCCGAGCCCCGTCCCCGGTGCCAAGGTCGAAGAGGGCCCGGCGGATTGATGCGCGATCAAGAACGATGTCGAAGAGGGCTGGCGGAATATAAGTTTGAGGGCGTCCCGAGCGAAACGCTGTTGTTTGACATTCCGATAGATCAAGCACACGGTGAACTTAACATGTTTGTTTCGTGGTTGATGTCTCAAGTGAAGCGCTTGTTTTGCAGAATTCGTTGAGGATGTCTCGAGCGAGACGGTTGTTTTGTCCTATGGATTACTCCACTCCTGGGGGCCAGAATTCAGAGCATGTCACAGACGAAATGCTTGTTTTCACGTGCCCAGGTCCCCCAGGAGGGTATCTAACATGGCTGTCCCCAGATGGAACCACATGTTTTCACGTGTGCGGGCCACCCAGGGGGTATCTAAGATGGTGGTCCCGAACTTGAACCACGTGTTTTTACTTGTCCAGGCTACCCAGTGGGGTGTCTAACATGGTGGCCCCTCGCTGGAACCATATGTTTTTACGTGTCCAGGCCACCCACGGGGGGGATATCTAACATGTGGTCGTCTGGGAGCCCCCTGCGAGGGGGCCCACAAGAGCCAGACAAACTTTTACCTCGACACCATATGTGTAATCACTTGATACAGTTCCCTCGGCTGGTGATTTTCTGGATGTCCCACTGGGGTATCTCACATGGTGGTCCCGAGCTGGAACAGCGTGTTTTACATGTCCAGGCCACTCGGGAGGTATCTAACACGGTGGTCCCGAGTTGGAACCACGAGTTTTTTACGTGTCCAGGCCGCCCAGGGGTGGATCTATAAGATAGTTGTTTCTTGTCCATCGCTGGAATCACGTGTTGTCACGTGTCCAGGCCTCCTAGGGGTGGGTATCTAAGATGGTTGCCCGAGGCTGAAACCACGTGTTTTCACGTACCCAGGCCACCCGGAGGGGTATCTAACCTGTTGGCACCGAGCTGGAACCACGTGCTTTTATGTGTCCAGGCCTCCCAGGGGGATATCTAAGATGGCGGTTCCGAGCTGGGACCGCGTGTTTTTTTCGGGTCCAGGCCTCCCAGGGGTGGGTATCTAAGAATTGCTGCTTCTTTCCCCCTCGCCGGAACCATGCGTTTTCAGCTGTCCAGGCTTCCCAGGGGTGGGTATCTAGGATGGTGGCCCGAGGCTGGAACTACATGTTCTCCCATGCTCAAGCCACCCAGAGGGGTGTCTAACATGGTGGCGCCGAGCTGGAACCACGTGTTTTTACGTGTCCAGGCCGCCTCCCAGGGGGATATCTAACATGATGGTTCCGAGCTGGGACTGCGTGTTTTTACGCGTCCAGTCCTCCCAAGGGGTGGGTATCTAAGATTTTTGCTTCTTGCCCGTCGCTGGAACCACGTTTTCTTATTGCCCAGGCCATCCAGAGAGGTGTCTACCATGGTGGCCCGACACAGGAACCATGTGTTTTCACGTGTCCAGGCCACCCAGAGGGTTCTCTAACATGGTGGCACCGGGCTGGAACCACGTGTTTGCACTTGTCCAGGCCACCCCAGAGGGGTATCGAGCATGGTTGCCCCGAGCTGGAACCACGTGTCCAGGCCACCCAGGGGGGATATCTAACATTGTGGCCCCTCGCTGGAGCCACGTGCTTTTACGTGTGCGGGCCACCTACGGGGGGGATGTCTAACATGTGGTCGTCTGGGAGCCCCCAGTGCGGGGGGGGGGGGAGGGCACAAGAGCCAGACAAAAACACGATTTCTGGCACGGTTCCTTTGGCTGCGCAATAATTTCGACACGATTCTTCTTTGCTCGACACGAATAACTTCTTCGATGCAATAATGTATGGCAAAATCGACACGATTTCTGGCACGGCTTCTTCGACACGATTTTTTTCGACATCGACACCAGATGCGCAATAACTTGGCACGGTTTCTTTGGCTGGCGATTTCCAGGTGTCCCAATTGGGGCATCTAAGACGGTGGCCCCGGGCTGTAACAACGTGTCTTACATGACCAGGCCACCCAGGGGGTATCTAACATGGTGGTCCCGAGTTAGAGCCACGTGGTTTTTATGTGTCCAGGCCATCCAGAAAGGTATCTAAAATGGTGGCCCCAGGCTGGAAATATTTGTTTTCACGTGCCCAAACCACCCAGAAAGGTATCTAACATGGTGACCCGAGGCTGGAACATTTGTTTTCACGTGCCCAGACCACCCAGAGGGGTTTCTAACACGGTTGCCCGAGACTGGAACCATGTGTTTTCACGTGCCCAGACCACCTTTGCGGGGTATCTAACATGGTTGCCCGAAACTGGAACCATGTGTTTTGACGTGCCCAGACCACCCAGAGGGGCATCTTACATGGTGACACCGGGCTAGAACCATGTGGTGTCACCTGTCCAGGCCACCCGTATGGGTGTCTAACATGGTTGCCTCGAGCTGGAACCACGTGTTTTTGCTTGCGGGGGCCACCCAAGGGGAGATATCTAATATGTGGTCGCCTGGGCACCCCTAGCGTGGTGGCCCACAAGCGCCAGACACAATCGACACCAGATGTTTCATAACCTTCGGCTGGTGATTTTCCAGATTTCCAACTGGGGTATCTAACATGGTGGTCCCGAGCTGAACCACGTGTTTTCACGTGTCCAGGCCACCCAAATGGATACCTAAAATAGTGGTCCCGAGCTGGAACCGCGGTCGCCGTCGTTGCCGTCCACCGTCGCTGTCGTCGTTGGCGTTTCGGCCCGCCCGTTCTCGATGCATATCGCCTCGGTTTGGACTCGCCCTTATCATTCCGCCCTGTTGCGGAACATAATTCTTTCATAAGGTCTCGATTGCAATCAGCTTTGGGCGAGCAATTCGCCCAGGCAGCTCGAACTGGAGGCCCAGCTCATTTCTGTCGTGATTCGGATGGCAAGGAAGAGTTGATCCACGGCGCAACAGGGCACAGACCTGCTCAGATTCGCCCCCTTCCTGCCCGGCCCGCTCCCGAACTGCATTAGATCTTGAGCTCGAGCTGGCCGAGCGGCCCGCACGTTTCGACTGCGGCCAGATCCGAGTGCTTCGTTCCGGCAGCTCGGGCTTAAGGTCCGGATCAGTCCGATCGGGGTTCTGACGCCACGGACGATCTGAACTGCCACAGCGCACAGCACGTCGACGCGGCATGTCGCGTCTCAGTTCAGCACAGCACAGCTCAGCACAGCCTCTGGCACTTCACACCACCATCGCCACATTGAGCATTGCAGTTTCCCGTCGCTCAAATTTGGTTTCTTGAACAAATTCCATGCCTCTCATTTTAACTAGGATCCCTTTCTGGGTTCAAGGGTCGAGTATTGTTGAGCTGCTTGAACATGTTGAAATATTCAATGGTTTAGGCCGCACCGCCGACCCCTTGGGGGCCGTTGATGTTTTCTTGCAGGGTGCGTCGTCGTAGGAGCCTCTTTGCTCCGTGACCCTTCGAAACGCCCGAAACCGTGCTGAAGAGGGATCCTGTTGGGAACGCAGGGGCCAGCTAGGGATTCCTAGGGGCCTTCGAGGGGCTTCTTGAGCTGGCCGGTGTGGCGCGCCTGCAGGTCTCGTGGCCCTCTCGACGCTCTGTTCGGTTGTCTTCGGCTGTTCAGGAGCCTGTCGTTGACCACGACTTTTGCCTCTCACGAGGGCTCCTGGAAAGATAATTGACCTGCTTCCAGTCGTCGTGGAACCCTCCTGAAAATTTTTGGACCCCGAGTTCATGGAGAGGTCGAGAGAGAGAGAGAGGCAAAGACTTCAGACACCCACGGGGTCGGTGGATTCTTATTTAGTCTCACCATCGTTGCTTTTGCCGCGTTCCGTGGAGCTCGCTTAGCTCCTCGGTCGCTGACACTGCCCACGACAGTCAATGTATGAGGGGTCGAGGAGGGATGGGGAAGAGGGGGAGGAGGAGGACGAGGAACCAGTGTAAACCCAAGGTTCATCAACGATGTTGGGATACACCCTCCCTCCAATCTCCCTATCCATAGGCCCCCACAAGCGTTCACTCCCACTGAGGGAACAGCCTCGTGCGGAGAACCGTCTGAAGACCCTGAAGAGTGCCAACACACCATCCTCGGGAGTCCAATGCCACGAATCAACATGACTCTTGCGTCTCAACGATTTGGAATCGTGCCAGAACACCTTTCCTGGGACTTCAGCACCGCGAATCAATTGAATTGTTGCGCACTCGCGATCCGGAGACCTTCCAAAACACCATTTCTGGCACGTTGACCATGGGAACCCCTTACGGCGAGAGCCACATGTTTCTGAGAAGTTCTGCCGCCTTCTGAGACGATTTTCTCCTTTTCACTTCCCCTCCGGGCGCGCCGCCGAGAAGAGGAGGAGGAGGAGGAGGAGGAGGAGGAGAAAGAGGAGGAGGAGGAGGAGAAGCAGGAGGAGGAGGAGAAAGAGGAGGAGGAGGAACAGGAGGAGGAGGAGGAGAAGGAGAAGGAGGAGGAGGAGGAGGAGGAGGAAGAGGAGGAGGAGGAGGAGGAACAGGAGGAGGAGGAACAGGAGGAGGAGGAGGAGGAGGAGGAGGAGGAGGAAGAGAAGGAGGAGGAGGGATGGGGAGTGGGCGGCGGCGCGGATCACACCAGGGCTGCGAGGGCGTGCAGCGCCGACGGGGGAGCAGTGCGCGGGCATCCGAAGCTCGTGCTTCCGTCCGTGGCCTCCGTGTGCGAAGCTGTGGGAGCACGGCAGGCATGCCGGTGCTCCCGGCGGCGAGCTCGGGGGGGAAGTGAGAGGGGGCGGG